GCCTGTGTATCTCGGATTCCCCCTCTCGTCTTGCCCTATTCGGATACTGTTTGCCCCTGCCTGGACCTTTGCCTTGTACCTGGATTTATCCCTCTAGTCTCGCCCTGTTGATTCTGTTCGCTGATCGTTGACCCACGCTAGCCCTAGGTTTATTCTTGTGTCTTGCCCTCTATATACCTGTTGCCATTGTCTGACCCTTGCCTGTTTCTGACCATGTCGGTTAATAAAGCTTTGCACTTGGATCTGCACGTCTCAGTCACTCCGTGACAATTTCATTTTTAGTTTGTTATTTTAGTGTAATCAATTTAAAATAAATCAAAAATAATAAATGTTGCATTGGGCACTAGCTGAAATAATTTACATTTTCATATATTTTATTCTGTTTATTTTATTTTATTTATTTTTTTTATTATATTTTATTTCAGTTCAAATTTTTGTATTTTATTATTTTGATCATATTCTATTTTTATTTTCCTTTAAATAAAATATATATATTTTTTATTATTTAAGGAAGGTTTTTTTTAATGGTCTTAGTTTTAGTTAAATATAATAACCAGGGGCGTGTCTAAAGGGGTGGCACTGGCCCCCCTCAAAATATGCTTGGCCCCCCCTTATATATATATATATATATATTAGCACCGATTAAAATAGAAATCGTTATGTTACGTTTCTTCCTGTTGTTTCAAAGATTAAAGGCAAAACCGCTTTCCCAAATAGTCTGCATTAATAATGTTAGTGTTCTGACACTTAGGTAGAAGTAAACACCTGTTTGTATTGAATAAACAAACGTAGTCTTATATATATTTTTTTATTATTTTCGTTTGCAATGTCCAAGAACAGTTTCACATTTAAATGATTTTGTCTTTAATCAGATGAGAATATGGCTATTAAATATACTATTTGTGTAACATTCACTAGAGATTCCTGCAGCGTGCTTTCAGAGTTCTCTGAAACCCTCCACCTTCCCCAGCTCCACCTGTATAGATCTGCTACGGAGTTATTTTATATGCTATTTGTGCAGCAGCAGTATGTCTTAAATACTCACGGCACCGTATGCATTAACAGTAGCAAGTTCCTGTACTTGCTTGCAGCATCAGCAGCAATAATCTACAACTACAGCAACAACCAACAGCAGCAGCAATTCAGCAGCAGCGTAGCAGATCTGTTCCACCAAGATCAAATACATTAACATCGTCATATCCATCACCATGCTAAAATCTTCCGAGAGTTGTCATGATTGAAATATAGTTAATCAGTTTACTTTTATAGAGGACGTTTGCAGTTTGCAGTAGAATTTGATTGATTACTGATTTTACATCAGCTTCAAACTTCAGTTAGCCTTTACTGTCTGAATTATTCATTTTATATTATTATGACCCTAATAATTAATTATCATTAGAATATCAGTAAATTATGAACCAGCCCACCAATAATATCATGCAGCGGTTTATGAGGAAGCTTAAATCTTACTTCATCTTTCTTCTTTTTCTTCTTCTTCTTCTTCTTCTTCTCATCCTCACTGTCTGATGAGCTGCATGCCTTCTGAGAGACAGAGGCGTCATATGAAATGAGTTTAGGGCATAAAAATCATGTTTAGCACGGTTCTGATTAATGAGATCTGTCACCTGCACACAAGAGTAAAATCACTTTTACTTGCGCGGCTCAAACCAGCAGTGAGTGTGTGACTGGAAAAACATGTTTTTTTTCACACATAATTGGATGATTAATGAAGCAAGCTTTTCGTTCGTTCATATTTCATATCGAGGAGAGTCAGACGTGGATCTGAGTTAATGACACAAACCTTCTTCTTTTTCTTTACTTTCTTCTTTTTGTCTTTCTGTTTGTCGTGGCCTCCTTCGCCCTCGTCATCAGACACGTGACCGTCGTCCCTGGCAGCGGTCAAACCCGCAGACTCCACAGGAAGTGCTGCACAGGACAGGAAGTTGCTTTCATGAGTCATGTGACCACCATTAGAGCTTTGAAATAAGAGTTCAGTCTGTTCGGAGGAAAAACAGGGTCCTCCCACGCAGTGCTCTTTTTAAAAATATTTTTAATTAGTTTTTATTTTTGTATTTTCGATTTTTATTTAATTTTAGTTAAGTTTAGTTTTTTTTATTAGTAATTGTTTATTTTTTAGATATATTTCTAAATAATTTTAATTTTTTTATTTCAGTTTAGTTTAAATTTTTTGTTATTTTAGTACATCAAGTTACTAAATGAAAATGGCAAATGTTTCCTTGGCAACTAGCTAGTTTTATTTTATTTTATTTGATTGTATTTCACTTAACGTTTATTTTATTTCACGTTATATTTTTAAGTATATTTCAAATTATTTTATAATTAAGTAAAAATTTTAAAATTTTAAAAATTTAGTTTTAACCCTGTGTACACATTTAGTTCAACACATTTCCATGACTCATAACTACACAATTATAAATAAAATAAAATAAAAAGTAATACATTTAAATAAAATACAAAATAAATTATATTACTAAAGAACTTTCCATGCAACTTTTGCGACAAGATATTATTAACTTTTCCAGACCGTAAAAAACATTTTAGTTAAAGTTTTATTAATGTTGTTGTATTAATGCTGTTTTTATTAATTATTGTTTTATGTCTATATAGTTTTTATTTATTTTTATTTTTTAGTTATTTTAGTACATCATGTTAAACTGAATGAAAATGAGAAATGTTGCTTTGGCAACTAGCTGAAATACAATAAGTTTAGACAATTTTATGTTATTTCACTTAACGTTTGTTTCATTGCAAGTAATTAAATTGTTTATGGTTTTAGTTTTAACTAAATAATAACCCTGTTTACAAGCATAAATTACCACATTTCCATAACTCATAATTAGAAAATTATTATTTATCATATTACTAAACTACAATAAATACAATAAAATAAAATAAAATAAAATAAAATATAATTATATTACTAATGAACTTTCCATGAGACCTTTATGATATTATTAATTCCCTTTCATGGGAACTTCGAACTGCGTCCTCTAGGGGTCGCTATGGGGAACGCCTCGTCGTGACCCGTGTCTGAAGCATACATTGAAAAAACACCAACAACTCGTTGGCCGGCGACAGCCATGACGTCACTACCGTGTGACTACCGTGTGACTA